ACCTTCCTCCTTCTTTTTTTTCTATTCGTGTTTTGTAGTTGCTGTTTTAATTTTTACTCATTTTCTTGATCTATTATTTTTTATACAGGGTTTCCCCATGTCGTTCAGGGGGGCCTTGAACTCACTCTAGCCCAGGCTGGCCTCAAACTCTCAGTGACCTCCTGCCTCAGCCTCCCGAGTGCTGGGATGACAGGCGCACGCCAACATGCCCGGCTTCTTTTGGTTGTTTATTCCTGATCATCTCTTCCTGCCTTTCTATCGGCGTGGACCGTGTGCTTTTCTGATCTTGTTTTAATTCCTCCTCGGTTTACCTTTTGACCAGCTTCCCAGTGCTCCTGGAATCCTCCAGTCCTCCAGCTTTGCTTGTATGAAAGGAAGCTTTCTTTCATTCGTCTGCTTTTTCCCCAAGCCCCTTTTAAACTTTCTCTGCCGAAGGTAAAGTCACCACAGTGAAGGCACATGGATTGTGTACCATTTTCTGGTTTTAGATTTTGTTACATAACCCCTAAACGATAGGCTAGCCAGGGCCAAAGAACACGGGGCCAGACCAAACAGATAATGACGCCTCATCCCCCATAAATAGGGGAGCTAGGAGCTTGAAACACACTCAAAACTCAAAACCCAAAGACACTTAGAAGACTCCTCTGAGAAGCAGTCATCTCCTAAAAGTTCTAAATCCTAGCAATAAAATTACTTGCCATGAACAATTTCTAAACGTTGACTCAGAAATGAAACCAAAAAAAAAAAAAAAAAAAAAAGCCAGGCATGGTTGGCACACATTATGGTCCCAGCACTTGGGAGGCTGAGGCAGGAGGATCACTGTGCGTTCAAGGCCAGCCTGCGCTGCATAGGGTCTCAAAAAGACAAAAAAACATGTGGTTTCACTACCCAAGGCAAGGAGTTAAACCGAGGGGTGAACAAAAGGAAACCAGCAACAGGAAATTAACATGACAAGGTAAGTCAATCCCTGTCAGTGGTAACCATCAGCATTAAGTCTCAATCCTCCAGTCAAGAGAAACAGACCAGCAGAATGGATCAAGAAGAGGGAGTGAGCCAACGCTCAGCTGCAGACCAGCCTGACCTGCAGAGTGAGACCCTGTCTTAAAACACGAAAAGCAAGATCCAACAATATGCTGCATACAAGAAACACATTTAATTCAAAAAGAAATACGCTGGCTGAAAATAACCCGGAAAAGGATAGGAAACTCTACCTCATGGAACAGAAACCCAGCAAAAAGCAGGGTAGCTTCCTCTTTGCAGACAAAACGAATTTGGAGCCAAGACTGATCGAGACAAGAAGGTCATACATCCTTGTAAAGGCAAAGTCCAACAGGAAGAGATAACAATCATAAATATTGATGCACCAAATACCAGCACACCCACCACACAGAACAAAGGTGAACAGAGAGGAAAAATCACATAGGCACTAATGCAATTGCAACGGGGACCTCAGTAACCACTGTCACAAGCAGACAGATCAGTTAGACAAGTCAATGCATAAATATCAGATCAGAACCGAACTTTTGTACAAAGCGACTTAGTATATACCTACGAAAGTATTCCAACCCACAGCATCAGAATACGTTCTTGTCGGCTGCAGATGGCACAGTCTCCAAAGCACACCACAGACTGGCTCATGCAACATGCTTAGGTGCATGCATGGTAAGAGGTAAGAAATGATAAAGATCAGAGCAGAAATTAATGCCACGGAGACTAAGTAAATAAGGCAAAGAATCAATGAGTCAAAGAGTTGGTTCTTTGTTTCGTTGTTTGTTCTTTGGTTTTTTCGAGAAGGTTCTCCCTATGTGGTTCAGACTGACTTTGAATTCGCTTTGTAGCCTAGGTTGATCTGGAACTCACAGAGATCCTCCTGCCTCAGCCTCCCAAGTACAGGAAAGGCAGCCACGTGGCCCCACACTTGGCAAGAGTTGGTTTTTAGATTAGATTAAAACTGACAAACCATTTGCAAACCTCAATTTAAAAAGAAGAAACTAAAGAAAAGACTCAAACCCATGCGATTAGGAATGAAATGGGTGAAATCATAACACGTCCTATAGAAATCCAGAAGATTATCGATACCTGCTTCAAGAACCTGTATTCTAATAAGGTGGAAAACATAGAATAAAGGACAAATTCCTAGATACCTATGAATCACCAAAGCTGAATCAAGAAGACATAAAAATTCTAAATAAACCAATATCAATCAATGAACTTGAAGATGGAATTAAAAACCTACCAACCAAGAAAAGCTGAGACCCTGAAAGATTCACTGCTGAAGTTTACAATTTAGAGAAGACCTAATACTGCTAATGACACTGAAAATTCCTCAAATTCCTTAATGACACTGAAAGGAAAAAAACACTCCTTAACATTCCCCGGAAGCAACATCACCCTGATACCAACATGGAAGAAAGATCCAACCAAAAAAAGAGGACCACAGCTCAGTCTCGCTAGTGAACACAGGTACAGACATCCTCAGTAAGCTACTGGCAAACACAATGCAGCAGATCATCAAGAAGGCTCATCACCAGGCAGGCGTCACCTCAGGAATGCAGGGATGGTTCAATATCCACAAATCAATAAACGCCACCCACCACAGTCACACAGCCAAGGACCAAAGCCATGTGATCATCTCCACAGAGGCAGAAAAGCATCTGACCAAATCCAACACCCATTCACGAGAAAAACCCTACAGGAAATTGAAATGGGGGGTCTTGATGTCAATATGGCAAAAGGCAACTATGGAAGCCAACCGCCAGCATCTTACTAAATGGACACAAACTGAAAGCTTTCAACCTAAATCAGGAACAAGACAAGGATGCCCACCATCCCCACTCACTCAAAATAGTTCTGGAAACACCAGCCAGAGCAGTTAGGCAAGAGAAAGAAATACAAGGGATAAGGACAGGAAGAGGTTGAATTATTATTTGTGAATGACATGAGCTCTGCGTTAGAAAACCCCGAACACTCCGCAAGGCAGGTGCAAGGTCCTGAGTTTGATTCCTGGTACAAAAAAAAAAAAATCAGTAGCACTCCTGTACACAAGTAACCAACTCACTAGAGAAAAATTATGGAAATAACACCTTTTACAATAAGACCAAGAGAATAAACACCCAGGAATAAATACCTAGGAATCAATCTAATGAAAGAAGTAAAAAGCTTCTACAATGAAACTACAGCACTCTAGGCAAGGAAGTTGAAGGGGACATCAGAAAATGGACCGAGACCAGGGATGTGGCTCAGGGTTATGAGCAAGTGTGAGGCCGTGAGCTCAATCCCCAGTACAAAAGAAAAAGAAAGACATGAATTAATGATCTAAATATCGAAACAGAAACACTAAATCTGCCGGAAGATAGAATAGAAACTCTTGAGGACACTGGTGCAAGCAAAGAGCTTATGAACAAAACCCTGATCCCACAGGAACGATCACAGCGATTCAACAGCGGGATCTAGTGTTATTAAAAAGCTTTTGCTCAGGGGCTGGAGATTTAGCTCAGCGGCATAAGTGCCTGCCTTGCAAGCAGGCAGTTGTGAGTTCGATCCCCGGTACCGATAAAAAGGAAAGACAAAATAAATAAATAACAAAATAAATAAAGCTTTTGCACAGCAAGAGAAACCACCAACAGTGAGGAGACGACTCACAGAATGGGAAAAACTTTGGCCAGCAGTTTCTCAGACAAAGGACTAATACCTAAAATATACAGAAAGCTCAAAAAAATCAGATCCCTGAAATTTAAAGACCCATTCCAAATACGGACATCTAAAATGAATAGACACTTCTCAGGTGAAATAGAAGTGAAAAATATATGAAAAATATTCCACATCACTGGTCATATGAGAGATGCAAATTAAAACAACGCTTAGATAGCATCTCACTTCAGAAAGAATAGCTGTTATCAGGAAATCAACCAATAACAAGTGCTGGCTGCAGGGAAAAAGAACCTCTCTGCACTGTTGGTGGGAGTTTTAGACCGGTGAAACCACTGTGGAAATCAATGTGCAGATTCCTCAAAAAACTGAAACTAGAGGCTCCATTCTACCCAGTTATTTCCCTTCTTCTTCTTCTTCTTCTTTCTTTTTTATTTTTATTTTTTTGGTCTTTTTCCTTTTTATGGGTACCAGGGATGGAACTCACGACTGCCTGCCGGCATAAGCGCTGAGCTAAATCCCCAGCCCGCTATTCCCTTTCTGAGTATCTTCTCGAAAGATTAAAAGCACCAACCACAGCAATATATGCACACTCACATTTATAGCAACACAGTTTGTAATAGTTAAATCTTGGTATTAAATCAGCACTCCTGAGGCTGAGGCAGCAGGATCACCGTAAGTGGAGGCCCGCTTGGGCTACAAAGTGAGTTCAAGGCCAGCCTGAACTGCATAGCGAAACCCTGTCTCAAAAAGACAAAAAGTCTTAGCAACAGTCTAGCGACTGATAAATGGATAAAGAAGCTGTGGGGGTTTTCAAACAAGGAGGATAAACTTGAGGCATTTCCAGCTAAATGGGTCCACCTTGAGACCACACTCTGAACTACAGTAAATACATTATTTCTCTGTTGTGAGAAACCAGAAGTGTAAATAAGACCCAAAATGTGTAACAGATATTGGAAAACGGTAAAAAAAAAAAAAAAAAAAAAAAAAAAGTTCAAACGAGGAGGCGAACAAGGGAAGGAAAGGAAGGAGGGGAAAAATGGAACCCAAGGTTTTGTAAATGAGAAAGAGGGGCTGGAGGGAGGGCAGGGGGATGGGGGAAAAGGAATCAAGATATGTACAGGTACAAACTGCCTAAGATGAACGTTTTCTGTATGTATATTTAATATTCATCAATTTTAAAATGCAAAAAATTAAAATCATAAAAATAATAGATTATCGGGAACTAGAATGTCCCCTATGGAATGACATTTTAAAACCCACGCAAGACATCAGACCACATTCAGCGGCCACCTGTGACCTATACGTGGCGGGCGGGAGCCTAGGAAGACGCTTTGAGATTCCTCTTGCAAGACAGTTTACTAGGCAGGCGAGGCCCCGCCCACATTCAGACTCCGCCCCTCGGACCTCGGGATCCACAAAGCCTCATTGGAGCGTTTTGAGCATGCGCACTTCCCCAGTACAATCAGGGAGCACACGCGCGACCCGCGACCCGGAAGGCTTTCTTGCCACACTGGAGAGCCTGCGTGAGGGGTGTCGATGGCGGAGGGAGCGGTGGAGGTTCCAGCCGATAGCGGTGCTGGCGGAGACTCAGGAGCGAGTGTGTTGGAACGCGGAGTGGCGCCCATTAAGCCTCAGTAAGTGCCCGGGACAGGAGGGGGGTGACCTTATGTGATCTTTCGGTACCCGTAGCGCGTCCCGAGCGGTGCACGCCGGGAGGTGGGGCAGCGGCCTCCAGCGGGAAGCTCGCAGGGTCTTCACTACCAGCTGCTTCTCCTCCCGCATGATGGTCCGCGGCGGCGTCAGAGATCGTGCACGTTGGAAGCTGTCATATGTCCCCAGAATGGCTACGTGCATGCTGGGGCAGGCGGATGTTAGAGGAGCGGTCGGAGGGGCTTGCTGGGAATTGTAGTCCCCCCTAATGATGGGACTCGCACGTGTGTACCTTTCGCTGCAGTTATGGGCGGGAGACGCTGAAAGGCTGCTGGAAAGTGTGGCGGCTTAATCCTCGCTGCAAGGCATTCTGGGACTTGGATGTTTGGCGTTTTTTTTGCTTATTTGTTTTTACTTTGTCAGGGTCAAGGCTGTGCATGCCTGGTAATATTCTTTCGCACATCTCTCGCAGTACTGTGCAGGTCGGGGAAAAATAGGCCCCTCCGGGGTGGGCGTGGGGGCGCACACCTGGCACCCCAGCACCGAGAGAGGCGGGGCGTCGCGTGGCGGACCCCTGTCTTAACAGCTTGGTGCGGAGTAGCTCAGTGGCACAGCTGACTGCGATCCCAGTACGCGCGTACATACTCGCGCACGCCGCCGCGTTCTCTCTCTGGTTACAGGGTGGCTGGTTCAAAGGCGCGAGCTCCCTAATAAGCATTCGGGCAGGGGCAGCTATTCTCAGCGCCCAGCGATCCTTGCGTCGTATCGGAAGGGTTCTTTTCCTCCCCTGTCTGCTGGCAGATACCTCACCACCAAGGAACACTTTCACGGGTTCCTGGAAGCCAAAGGGCGGGAGAAGCTTTGCCAGGACAGTGAGGCAGGAGACCCTGATGGCGCTGACAACGCTGAGCCCGAGGCCAAGCGGATCCGATTGGAGGACGGGCAGCCGGAGGCGGCAGTGGAGCCTGGGAAGCAGCCGCAGGCCCCAAAGAGAGCGCGGGGCCAGAACAAGAGCCGGCCCCACATGAAGCCCACGCAGTATGACCAGAACCGGCTGTGCCCTTCCCTGATCCAGGTGAGCACCACCCAGCCAGGCCACTCTGGGCATCCTATCCGATCCTCATCAGTCATCAGACTTGAGTACAATGTATGTGGTTTAGTTTGTCATTTCTTTCTTTTATTATTCATTTATTTATTTTGCAATGCCAAGTATGGAACCCAGAACCTCATGCTTGCTAGGCAAGCACTCAACACTGGTCTGTATTTCCTGCCTTCACTTTATTTTGAGACAGAGTCTTGCTAAATTGCCCAAGCAGGCCTTAAACTCGAGGTCCTCCTGCCTCAGCCTCCCCGATGGCTGAGATGACAGGCTATACCACTGTGCTGTTAGCTTTTTGACTTTGTGGTGGTGAGAAAGTGATTTATACTCAGTAGAAACTGTGCTTTAGCCAGGAATGGTACTTGCACACCCGTCATCCCAGCACTCAGGAGACTGAAGCAGGAGGATCTCCGAGAGTTCGAGGGCAGCCTGGGCTACATAGCGACACATAGTGTATCTCAAAAACACCAAGAGAAAAACAGGAAGGAGGAGGAGAAACCGTTTGTCCTTCAGGTTCTGGCCTTCTCTGGACTGTGTCACCCGCTCCTGTCTTGGGATATTCCCTGAGGTCATGAGGGTGCTGCTGGTAGCTGAGCTAGGAGGCACTCGCTGTTTGTTTGGTTTTGGTTTTGCTGGGCCAGGGTTTCCTGATGAAGTTCAGGCTGGCTTCCAACTCGCAGCAGTCCTCCTGCCTCAGCTTCCTGCGTGCTGGGGTTTCGGGTGCGCGCCCACACCCTGCTTCTGAAGTTCATCTCTGACTGATGATATTTTCGTTTTACATTGTGCTCTCCGAGGTGTGACCCCACTGTAAACGGGGATACCTGCTTGGCTTTGCCTCCCACTTACAGGAAACTGAGGCACAGAGGGGCCAAGGCAGGTGCAACGCTCACCCGCTGCCGCTGTGCCCCTCCGCGGGCTTCACATCCTTCTGTCCCCCGCAGGAGTCGCCTGCCAAGTGTTTCTTTGGGGACCGCTGCCGCTTCCTGCATGACGTGGTCCGTTACCTGGAGACCAAGCCGCCCGACCTGGGCCCCCGCTGTGTGCTCTTCGAGACCTTCGGCAGGTGTCCCTACGGCGTGACCTGCCGCTTCGCCGGCGCCCACCTGGGGCCCGAGGGCCAGAACCTGGTGCTCGAGGAGCTGCTGGCCCGCGGGGCCCACATGCCGCCCCTGCGCAATGCCCTGGACAAAACCCTGCAGCGGCAGCTGCGCAAACGCCAGGTGCGCTTCGAGCGTGCGGAACAGGCCCTGCGTGGCCTCAGCCAGGGCCCTGTGCAGGCCGCAGCTGTCGCCGAGCTCACGGCCCCTGAGGGTGACTCAGGGCAGAACCACTGCACTGCCCTGCAGGACCCTGCAGAGCTGGGGGCTGGCAGCCCTGTGCAGACCTGCGGGCCCTTGACGGACGAGGACACGGTCAGGCTGCGGCCCTGTGAGAAGAAGCGGGTACGTGTCTCGGGCGCCCTGTGGAGGACGGACGGTGCCATCCACATTCCTGCTCATAGGCTGTGCCCGGCATTGTTCACAGCTCAGGCATCCTCTCTCCTCTGTGGGCTCAGCCCACCCAGGTTCTGGTCTGGAGAGGCAGAAAAATCTAGACTCATAGTCCTTGGGAGTCAAGGTGGGACAGATGACAATGTGGGACACTTCTTAAAAGAGTGGACACAGCAACAGGGGCTTTGACAGTTGAATAGAAGCTCTTCCTTAGTGGCAAATCTGGGATAAAGAACATTTAGTACACGTAAAGAGGTGGAGAAGTGAAAAGGAGCCAGGCTGAGCAGGGCAGAGAAAAACTTGTCCTGGACAGGAGAGAAGGGGGAACCCCAGGGTCTCACCACGAGTCTTTTCCCCTCAGCTGGACATCAGTGACAAACTGTACCTGGCCCCTCTCACAACGGTAGGACCTGGCTGAGTTCTCAGCTACTAGTGTGGGGCTGGGGGCCCTGGGGTACATCTTGCCCGTGCACTTCCGGCAGGGGTGGCAGTCTGGGATCCCTTCCTGACCACCCCGCCCTGTGTAACACACATGTGTATCCCGTGGCCGCAGTGCGGGAACCTGCCCTTCCGGCGGATCTGCAAGCGCTTCGGGGCGGACGTGACGTGCGGGGAGATGGCCATGTGTACCAACCTGCTGCAGGGCCAGACGTCTGAGTGGGCCCTGCTCAGACGCCACCCCTGCGAGGACATCTTTGGGGTCCAGGTCTGTTCCCAACCTGGGGGACGGGAAGGGGGCCCGGTGCTGTGCTTGGGAGACACCTTAGGGACCTGCCAGGTCACCTCGCCAGCCCCGCCCAGCTACGGGTGGCATCCACAGCTGATGGTCTCAGACAGGCCAGCGCCTCCTGAGGAGGCTGGGCTGGGGGTGGCAGGCGCTGGTGTGAGACCCAGAGGGACAGCGCAGCCTGACTCCAGCCCCGTGCCCGCAGCTGGAAGGCGGCTTCCCCGACACCATGGCCAAGTGTGCAGAGCTGCTGAACCGCACCATCGAGGTGGACTTTGTGGACATCAATGTCGGCTGCCCCATCGACCTCGTGTACAAGAAGGTAGTGGCCTCTAGCCACGCTGCGCTGGGCTCCTGCCTCAGTTTCCCCATCCGGGCCCCAGGGAGGACGCCAATCGCACCAATGACATGGCAGGGCAGGGGGGGTCCAATGCCCATGTGTGACCAGGAAGGTGCCCTTTCCGCCTCGTGGCATCTGTGGGTGCACAGGGCTGGGGGAGGGGTGGTCAAGGGGTGCCAGGTCCACCAGCGCCCCTCCGCACTTCTCTCCCAGGGTGGGGGCTGCGCCCTCATGAACCGCCCGGCCAAGTTCCAGCAGATCGTCCGAGGCATGAGCCAGGTATCGCCCTCCCCGGGCAGCCCCCACTTTTGCCTCCCCGCTTTGGCCCAGATTGTCCACCCGACCGTGCGGTCCCCTGCCGCAGGTGCTGGACGTGCCGCTGACCGTGAAGATCCGCACGGGCGTCCAGGAGCACGCGAACCTGGCGCACCGCCTGCTGCCCGAGCTGCGGGCCTGGGGCGCTGCCCTCGTCACGGTGGGTCTCGGGGCACCGTGGGCGTGCGGGGGAGCCCCGGGGAGCCCCGGCGTCTGTTCCTGACGGCCTCGCTCCCCGTTTCTTGTCCCCCTCACTGCTCCCTGCGTCTCCGGCCGCCGCCGCCCCTCTAGCCCCTCCCCCTCCCCCACATCTGCTCCTCTGCCTCCCTCCCCGGCTGCCTTCCCCCCCCCAGCTGCACGGCCGCTCCCGCGAGCAGCGCTACACCAAGCTGGCTGACTGGCAGTACATCGGGCAGTGCGTGGAGGCGGCCAGCCCCATGCCGCTCTTCGGTGGGTGCCGTCCCCGCCACCCAGGGTCACCCGTGCCCCACGCCTGCACTCCTCCACCGTGCCGGGGACCACCAGGGCCTGGAACCCCCAAACAGCTGGCAGGCTCCTTGTCAACTCCTGAGACCCCGGTCTCTCCCTGCAGGGAATGGGGACATCTTGTCGTACGAGGACGCCAATCGCGCCAAGCAGACTGGAGTTGCCGGGATCATGATTGCCCGGTAGGCTCCTGCTGGCTCCCAGGACGGTCGGGGCCACCCTGGAGCCCACCCTGGAGCCCGGCCTGGGGTGGGGGCACAGGGAGGCCGGTGTGGGCCGGGCAGGACAGAGGGATGCGGGCAGCGGGCGGAGGGCTGCGAAAGCCCCGGGCTGCAGCGTGTGATGCGGGGCTGGGCTCCAGCTGTGGCCCTGGGGCCTGGCTGACCTCTGCCCGCGTCCCCACAGGGGCGCCCTGCTGAAGCCCTGGCTGTTCACGGAGATCAAGGAGCAGAGGCACTGGGACATCTCGTCCTCTGAGCGCCTGGACATCCTGCGGGACTTCACCCACTATGGCCTGGAGCACTGGGGCTCTGACACACAGGGCGTGGAGAAGACCAGGCGCTTCCTGCTGGAGTGGCTGTCCTTCCTCTGCAGGTGGGCACTGGCCCTGGCCTTGGCCCCGCCCCTGCTTTGGCCCCTCCCACAGCTCTTGGTCCCGCCCCGTCTTGCCTCCTACACAATCTTGGCTGTGTCCTGACCAGTCTTGGCCTCTGCCTGTCCCGCAGCAACTGACCTCGGTCCTACCCTTTCCAGGGTTGACCCTCCCTTACCTCACCTAGGTCCCTTCCGGCCAGTCCTGGCCCCGCCCCTAGCCATTGGCCCCGCCCATCTGGCCCCGCCCCGCAGGTATGTGCCGGTCGGCCTGCTGGAGGTTCTCCCCCAGCGCATCAACGAGCGCCCCCCCTACTACCTTGGCCGCGACTACCTGGAGACGCTCATGGCCAGCCAGCAGGCAGCCGACTGGATCCGTATCAGGTTCGGGGAGCCGGAGAGGGGCCGGGCGGGAAGGGGGCCCGGCCACCCCATGCCCAGGCTGACCCATGCCCGCCTGTACCCCCTGTCTCCCCACAGTGAGATGCTTCTGGGCCCAGTGCCTCCCAACTTTGCCTTCCTGCCCAAGCACAAGGCCAATGCCTACAAGTAGCCCCCAGAGCCAGCTGGTGTGGAGGACAGACCTGGGGTGTTTTGGGGGAGAGGGGTCTGCCTTTGAGACAGGGTCTCACTGTGTGGTCCAGGCTGGCCTCAGACTCAAGGCGACCCTCCTGCCTCGGCCTCCTCAGTGCTGGCATCACAGCCAGGCGCCACCATGCCTGCTTTAATAAATCATATTCTTGTAAGATCCCGGCGTGTATCTGGTGCCGCTGCAGAGCCTGCCCGAGCCCCCTCGCCTGCCCACAGCATGGCCCCGCCTGGACCCCAGATCAGCGGTTCCTTGCAGCCCCCCGTGCTGTCCCCAAGATGCCCGCAGGGGTGTGCAGCACAGCAACCGCCTGGAGGTGGCTGTCTGGGACCGTCACCAGGATGCAGATGAAATCAGTGGAAAGTAGGGGCCGCAGCCCAGGGTCAGGCTGCTCTAGGGGAACCCGGCTGTGACCCCGGGGCCGCCTCTCTGACCCCCTGCCCACCCTACCCCCCTGGAATCCTGAGAGGTGGGCAGAGCTCGACCTCACCTGTTGCCCTGGTAACCGGCGACAGAACGCTGCAGGCCGCGGTCACTTTCCGGGTGGGTGGCCCCTGGTCTGCCCAGGCCAGACCCCGCCCACCATGCAGCACCCCAAACCCTTCACACCTGTGGCTTCCCAGGATGGCTTCAGCCCCCAGGGCCTGGAGGGCCCCACAGGCCTGGGCGGCTGCCCCGTGCTCACAGCCGCCGACCCCCTGCCCACCGTGGGTACGACCTAAGGGCTGGCGTTCGGGGTGGCTGGTCTTCAGGCCGGGGCGCCACCCAGCTCAGGGCCCACACCTCTGTCCACAGCCTCTGCGAACCTGCTCTGCCAACCCCCAAACCCGGAGAAAGATGTGTTTCCAGTGCCCCCGGCAGGTACCGGCCCCCATCCTGGAACAGATGTGGAAGCCGGGTGGGGTGAGCGGGGCCGCAGATGAGCCCTGGAGACAGACCGTATGTCCCTCACCTCCCTCATGGGTCCCCCAAAGAAAAGCCAGGTGTCACTGTCACCCGAAGGTGCTGCAGAGATAAAGCCTGGGCCCCCATCTTCCAGACAGGACCCCAAAACAAGATCTGTGTGTCTTGGCCTCCAAACGAGCCCCACTTCCAGGCTCGGGCTGCTTCCTGAGGGGAGCCCAGAAAGAGCACACCGTGCCCTTGTCCCCAGTGCTGTCTCCCGCCCCAGAGGCCACTCTTAGGGCCTGCACCCCGACTCCCTCCCGCAGGCTTCCAGATGGCCCCCTGCGGGTGTTTCTTCGACCCCCGCATCTACCGCATCGAGTGGGCCACCACCGACTTCGGCCAGGCCTTGTACAAGCTGGCGGTGGCCGGGACCCCCAGCCCCCCGGGCAGCTACCTCCTGGAGCCCCAGGCCTACGCCAAGGCCCCGGGGCCACCCCCATACCCCCACTACCAGCCTGGAGGGCCCCCATACCTGATGCCCTACTACCCGCCAGAAGGGCCCGGCCGTGAGGCTGTGGGCTTCCTGAGGGATGGGGGGCCCCCCAGCTTTGTGGAGCGGCCCCCACTGCTGCTCAAGGAGGGCCGGGCCGCCCTGCCGCCCGCCAAAGATGCCAAGCTGCCCTCGATGCTGCTCGCTGTGCCTGCCGAGGCCCCGCCGCCCCCTCCCAGCGCCTACGGCCACCTCCAAGACCACCAAGGCCAGGTCCCCGGGCCCCAGGCAGCCGGGCAGCCTGCAGAGCCCCTGGCATTTGCCACCAAGGAGCCGCAGGATGGTACCGGGGCCGAGCCGGGCCTGTCCCACCCGCAGGCCGCCTGTGAGCCCCAAGCCCCCGAGGCCGCCACCCCATCGGGGATAGGCGAGGTCCCCACATGCGAGGCAGCCCGGCCATCAGCGCTGCCGGACGAGGTGCTCCTGGAGGACGCCATGCGTCTGTTCGACTGCCTGCCGGGCCGCGCCGAGCCCCGGGGGGCCGTACCCCACAAGAGGCCCCCCAGACCGCGCCTCCTGGATGGGGGCAGCGGGGCCGATGAGTCCTCGTCGTTGTCGTCCTCCTCCTCGTCCTCCTGCTCGGCCAGTGACATCCGCTCGCTGCATCTCCCCGAGGACCTGCTGTCCTTCGACTACAGTGTCCCCGAGATCCTGGACGCCGTGTCCAACGTGGACTACCTGTTCAACTTCAGGGCGCTCGACGAGGAGCCGCCCGCCCACCCGGGGTCCCCCGCAGCCCAGCCCGCCGGCCCTGCGCCTCAGGCCGACACGCGGGGGAAGAAGAGGGCCACCTCCTCGGCCAGGAAGGGCAAGGCGGGCGTCAAGGCCAAGCAGGCTGCCCCCGCAGCCAGGCGGGACCTGGGCCCTGCCCCCCAGTAAAGCCCATTTAGTTTCTCAGCTTTGCGTCTCTGGTCCCAGGTTTTGGTGGCTGGCGGTGGTGGCTGGCTGTGGACACCTGTCCCCTTGCCGTGCTGTCCCGTGGATGAGCATGCAGCACAGTGAGGTGCCTCAAACTAGTGGCCATCCTCCTGCCTCAGCCTCCCGAGTGCTGCGGTTGCAGGGGTGCGCCATCGTGTAAGAAGCTGGCCTGGCTAGAGGGCCCAGAGGGGAGTGCTCGCCCAGCACTGCTGCAGGAGGACCCGGGTTCTATCCCCCGCACCGGGCACTCGGGAGGCTGAGGCAGCGGGGTCACCGTCAGAGCCCAGCCTGGACAGGTTAGTGACTTAGCCAGACCTTGTCTCAAAAAGGGTGAGAATGGGCTCAGTGCCAGCACTCTGGGTTCTATTTCCAGTACTAAAAAAATGGGGGCAGGGTTTGTTGCTGTCTGTACCCCAAAACTGACCTCCATTTGTCCAAGCGTGGCCTGAGGGACCAGTGAGAAACTCCTACCGACACACGGCTTCCTGCTCTGACACCGAACGTTTTATTTGAAACAGCAGCCTGGAGGGGACCCCGGGGCGGGGTCAGGGTGGTTTCGTCGGCCTCGGGGCCCGGAGGCCGCGGCAGAACCCCCAGAGTCTCCACTGTAGCCTCCTGTAGGCCTCCTTGGCCCTGTGGATGCCTTGCTTGTAGGACAGCTTCGGGAGGACGTAGGCCAGCCACACGGCCAGCAGCGAGCTGGCCACCAGCAGGACGATGGTGACCCCGGGCCTGAAGAGGGCCAGCGGGTAGGCGCCGTACACATAGATGCTGAAGGTGGTCTCCAGCTGGCAGTAGCTGGGGACACAGGCGGGGAGGCCTTGGTCCACCCACTGGGACCCCCAGCACCCTGAGGGGCCCCAGTGTCCTCTGTGGGATTTGGGTTTTGCGATTCAGGGTCTCGCTCTGCGGCTCAGCCGCCTTGAACTCAGTGCTGCAGCCGGGCCGGCCTCAACTCACAGAGGCCTTCCTGCTTCGGCCTGCTCGTGCTGGGGTGACTCCCAGCCGAACCTACTGTGGTCCTCGGATGGGCGCGGGTTTCCCGAGGGAGAACCCCTGGCCAGGGGGCCCGGCGTGGTCCACAGAGGTCACCACAGCCCTCACCTGTAGTACGGGTCCAGGATCGACAGCTGGAAGATGTAGATTCCGTTCCTCTGTTTGAAAATGATCTTGTTGTCCGTCTGGCCCCCCAAGATCTGATACTGGACGTTCGGCCACCGCAAGGGGTTGTGGGGGCTGGAACTGTGGCAGCTCAGGTAGTTCTGGGAGGGAACAGAGTGAGAAGTGCCCCGGGCTGCTCCTGCCCCGCACCCTCCCTGCACCGTGCCCAGCCCTGTGCCCAGCGCCAGCCTGCACACCTGCAGCCCGCCCCCGCTCGGCTCCCGTCTGCCCTCTGGGTGCCCTGTCTTGTGTCTTGGGACAGGGTCTCACTACGCAGGTCAGACCAGCCTCGGACCGCAGCGCTTCTCCAAAACAAAAGCTTTCGAAAGAGGCGGGTGCGCGGCTCAGCGCGAAGGCGCCAGCGTAACGCGGGGCAGGACGCGCCAGGAAACCGGGAGAGGCCCGCGCGGCGGGCTCACGGCGAGCGAGCGCCCTCTGCCGGTGGCGCCGCCGCGTCGCGCTGCCTCCCGCCTGCGCCCTGGACGCGCGGCTGCAAAAACCCGCCAGGCGGGGAGGGGACACGCGGGGACCCGCGCAGTTTCTGTAGCGGGGTGACGCCGCGCCCCCGGTCGGCGACCGTCTACAAACCAGCTGGCGTTACGGGGCGCCCTGACCACGGCGCAGCTTGTCACTTTTTTTCGTTTTCCGGGACTGGGGACCGAACCCGGGGCCTCCGCAGGGCTTTGCAGCCCCCGCCCTTTCTTTTCTTGCTTTAAAAATTTTTTTCGGTCTTTTTGAGGCAGGGTCTCGCTGTGCAGCTCAGGCCGGCCTTGGGCTCGCTTTGTAGCCCAGGCTGGTCTCGAACTCGCAGCGATCCTCCTGCCTCGGCCTCCCGAGGGCTGGGAGGCCAGGCGCGGATCACCGGGCTCTCGCTGGGGATCCAATCGGCCGCCGAGGTGGGCGTCCCGGGGATCCAGACCCCGACACCTCGGCGCCTCGCTGTCGCGCGTGGGGTCACCTTCGCAAGCGCAGCGCCTGCCCCAGCGAGCCCCCGCCCGCCCCTCCCTCCCGCGGCCACCAGGGGGCGCTACCTCTCGGGTCCAGGGCGCACGGCCCGGCTCGCGCGCGCTCTGCAGCACCGAGCTCCAGTTCTGCGGCTGCGCGTGGCAGCCCGCGGCGCGGGCGCTGAGCTCGTAGGAGAAGGTGTGCAGCCCGTGCACCTCGCGCAGCACGAATTCGGCCTCCACCAGCTCCACGAACTCGTCCCCTTGCCACCTGCGGGGGCGGGGAGAGCGGGGTGCAAGGGAGAGGGGCCTTCAGAGAGCTTCGCGTACTTTACAGCCCAAGGTACTGGTTGACTTTCCCATCTCAGGCCGTGGATCATTCCGAAGGGTGTCTGGTTCCCTCGGAAATCTCGGCATCCTCATACATCTTTGTTGAATGACTGTGTGAACACCAGCCCCTGACAGCCCGTGCTTTCTGTGTGCTGCCACATGGTGACTGCGGCACCCCCCATGCGGCATATGGGAGCTCACATCTGTTTCTTGTCTGAATCTATCTCCATTTTCAAGTCTCCCCGATGAACTCCTACTCATCCTTCAGAACCCATCGACCCCTCCACACTCCTGCAGACTCACAGCGGGGGAAGGGCCATGGCAGAGCACAGAATGGAGGGAGGCGGTAGGGTCCATCCCTGGGGGCAAAAAGGGCTGCAGACTGAACGGGGCCGTCCCAGATGTGTGTGAGGGAGCCTCAGGCATCCCTGTGTGGCCGGCCGTGTGTGACATAGAAGAGAAAAACCAGGGGTGGTCACATGCCTGTGACCCCGGTGCTGAGGGAAGCTGAGGCAGGAGGGTCACAGTTAGTTGAGAACAGCCTGAACTAAGACTATCTCAACAAAATAAAATAAAGTAAGGTCAAATAGGCAAATCAAGGGCCTGTGGGGACACGAGGTTATTAAGCTGGGCCCTTTTCAGAGCCACGTCCGGGCCTGGGACGCAGCTGAGTGAGAAGGGCCGAGCCCGGGAGGGAGGCCCGAGGCCCAGGGCGGAGGCCGGCCGGCCGCGCAGGCTCTTACAGCTCGATCGCTGGCTTCCAGGGGTTGTCGTAGTAGACGAGGCCGGGGCAGCCCAGGTCCCTGATCGGGTAGAGCACCTTCAGGTCCTTCGTGGCCGCCTGCCCGCCAGGGCCCGGGGCCAGCGATTCCCTGGGGGAGGAGCAGAGTGGGGGAGCCCTGCGAGGCCTGGGGGCCTGCCCCGTGCCCCCCTGGCCCCTGGCCCCAGGCTGTGGCCTGCTCACTTCTCGATGACGTAGGTGTAGTTGTCTTGCAGCACTCGAGGGTCGAGGACACCCACGGAGCAGGCAGAGATCTTACTGCAAGCACAGGCGAGGTGAGACGCGGCCTCACCGGGATGCACACACCGCCAGAGGCCCTCGCCGGGGACAGGGCAGGCTGGACGCGCTGAGCCCGGCCCAGCTGGGCGGCTTGTTCTTAGGGTCCCCTGCCATTACTGGTATTCACTTGCTGTTTTTGTTACTATGTTACGGTGTGTGCAGTGGCCACACGTCACCCCAGCATCCTGGGAGGCTGAGGCAGGAGGACCGCAGGCCCTGGGCACCTTCGGGGGTCAGCAAGACCGTCTCAAGATAAAAAGTAAAAAGGGGCGGGGTCACCGCTCAGGGTCAAGGCCCTGGCTTCCGTGGCCAGCACTGCGATCAGGCCGTCCGCCAAGCAGCCCATCAAATAAAGATTGAAGTCCTGTGGCTGGGGTGCAGCTCGGTGGCCAGTGCGGCCCCACGTGCTAAACTACGTCACATCTACAGCCGTGTGTTTTCTACACGGTCCTGCCACTCGCCACCCAAACTATTTCTGGTGCCGGGATCAGTGGTGTGGGGTGATCCCCGGAGCTGTGTGCTGTGCACCTCCAGGACCTGTCCCCTCCACAGCCCGGCACTGCCGTACTCTTTCCTGTCTGTCTGATAACATGAGTTCCCTGAGCACCATGTCAAAAGGGTCAGAGGCTTCCTCCTTTTCACGGCTGTGCAATATTCCACGTGCTCTCCCTCCTCCCTCAACGGTGCCCTCTTGGCGGGGCGCGGGGTGGG